ATTTATTATTTTTGAAGTGTGAAGAATAATAGGATTTAAAATTACAAAGATAAGCATCTCTGCTGCCAGCTGACGTGACTTGCATGTTTTAGTAAAAAGCTCTTCAGAAGGAAATGACGACGCCTCTTCAAGTTTCTCTTTACGAATGAAAACAAGCCAAACCTGTGTGGGTGGTACATATTTACCATAATATAATAACTGGCTTCTATTCTGCGAAAATGAAAAAGGAAATCGTGAGCTAAGAGGGTAAAAAATGTTTTCTTAGCTATTGAAATTAGAACCTTTCCTCGACAAGGTAAAAATAACATGCATACAAAGTTAACAAACACCACATCATGAATTATCTCACTGGACGTGCAAATGTCACATTGAAGGACAGATCTATTGGATAACAAAAAAAAAAACAAAAACAAAAAAAAAACAAAAAAACCAAGTAAAAATTTATGTAAAAATATGTGTTGTGTGCAATGTTGGTGTACTCCTTCAACTGCTATGATCGTAGTGTTTGTAGGTTATGTATGTTAACTCACAAGTACTCGTAAAAATAAAACGCGACTTGTAGAAATATTCTCCGATATCACGCTAACAAGAAAAGCTGGAAGGTAAGAGAGTTAAAGATGAGAGAATTAGGCCTTATTCCCCCCTTAAACCCTTCCTCCCTTCCTCCCTCCCCCTCCCTCCTTAGATGTTAATTTTAGACACGGCAACAGTTCTTCTGCGGATAATCTACAACGTGCGTTGCTTGGTTGTTTTATTGGAGCATGGACATGCAATTGAGTGTGAAGCCTAATTTCTAGACCCCTCTGGCATTTTCGAAGCCGGAAAAGATCTAAACATAGCTTGAGAAAGATTACATTTAGGACCTACTTTACCCCCTCAACCTCTCTTGATATTAATCAATCTTGTAATTGTAAAACACAGGTCTTGAAAACCAGGTCTTGCCCCGGAAGACAAGACATATGGGTTATGGACCAAGCGTGAGGTCAACAAGGCTGGATATTGACCAAGTACATTTTTTGCGTGTTTTCAACTACGTCTCGGTCCATAAACACGAGAAAAAAAGAGCGAGGCAAATATCCAGCCATTTGGGTCAATAACGGACACCGTTACCTTGCGAGAAACAGCGGGCAATACCGATCGGGATAGATATCCCATCTTGCCCACTCGGGTAGCCAATCACAGCGCAGGATTTGTTTCATCTTACCCACTCGCGGAGCTAGCCATTTAACAAATCGTATGTGGTTTAACGTTGTCTGTACTCTTATCGACAACTGAAAGGCGTCATCACAGTGGTCAAAATGTTGTGGACTCACAAGGCTCAGCCAAGTGAGTCCACTACAAACTTCGACCGTTGTGATGACGCATATCGTTGTCGATAAGAGTACAGACAACGCTAAACCACATTCGATTTGTTTTTTACCACAACATCAGCGTCAAAGAAAATGTTTTTACAGAGCGTGACCAAAAGCGTGACACATTGACCCGAGTAGCGTTGTCTGGACTCTTATCGACAACGGCAAATTAGCCAATCAGATTGCGAGATTAGTAGGAATTGTGGTAACGAC